ATTCCTGTGAACCTAAACGCTAATTTCAAGTCTTAACCGCTAAATTCAACTCCTAAACTCTAAATTCAATTATAAATTCAATACTTACACGCTACATTCAACTCCTAAACTCTAAATTCAAGTCTTAAAAGCTAAATCCAACTCCTAAACTCTAAATTCAATTCTTACACGCTAAATTCAACTCTTAAACACTAAATTTTCGGCCCAACCACGTTCCGGTCGCCGGAAAATTTCGGCTCGCCGTCAGTTCGTTGGAAATCGCCAGAAAAATTGTTCGAAACTAGAAAATTTTGACGCACCTGCTTAGTGATGATTCATGGATGCGTGTCCGCAGTTTACGTCGAGGATCGGATTTCCAGATGATTTTCCGGCGAGCGTCGATTTTTTCTGATTCAATACGTTTTCTGAAAGTTGGACATGTTGTAGATTGTGAAACTCCTTAACCAAAGATAAACATTTATACTTTTTTTTGGCGGCAAATAGCAAGCCCCATTCTTTAAAGAATTGTAAAATTCCTCTTCAATGCCATAATGCTTTCCTGACCTGAAAATTTCAATTTTATAAAATGAAGCCCCAAAAAAACTAGCAGTCGAGGAATCAAGAAACTTACTAAGTATTCACGGAGACACTCTAGAGCAGAATGGTTGCTCGATTCCAATTTCTCTTAGCTAAAATTTGGTGATTGTTATTTGACGGCCATGAGTGCCGCCTTGCTGGTGTGGCAGCGATGTCCTGTGTGCATACCAGCATCCCCCTTTGCTGTCTTCTATTGAAGAAGAATCGAGCAAGAGCTCAAATGACGTCATAATCGATTGATTACCACAATATCAAAAGCAACCTAATTCAGTAGTTGACTCCCAGAACAGCAGAGACCCCATATTTCCACGTTCGAGAAACAAGGACAACATGAATGTGAAGGAGGTGGCGAAGAGATGAACAATGATGGATGACGAGGTGTGGTGAGACTTGGACACGTCACACATTTAATGGTTAAATATGAGTTGATTTCCACATAAAAAAAAAATTAACGGAGTAGGAAGTTCAATGATCAAACTTAGATTGTTGAATTAATCTTAGTGAACACGAATGAAATCAAATAATTTTAATGACCAAACGTGAAACTATTAAGTAAACCCATTGACCAAACTTACGATTTACATTAAGATCATATGTAAAATCTTTGATGGCATAATCACATGCTACTTGCGTTTGTAGGTTTTGTTAACAACTAACCAGTTTAAAAGAAAATGTGTGGGAGAGTCATGCATTGTTGATACATTTTATCATATCAATAATGTGTGTGTATATTGTGAGAACCTAAACCTAAACGAATAAGTTCTAGAGTATTTCATTTTTTAAAAAAATTATAGTAAATTTTATGTTCTACTTTATCTCTTCTGCAAAGCCGTTTGCTCCTATGTTTTGATCATGAATAGAGCATATGTAAAATCTTTCGTGGCATCCTCACGTGCTACTTATGTTTGTGGGTTTAGATAAAAACTAACCAATTAAAAGATAATGTGTGGAAGTGTCATGCATTTTGAATGCAATATATTATAGAAGAATGTATATACATATTGTGAGAATCGAAAACGAATAGAAGTTTTAGGGTAGCTCTTTTTCATAAAAGAAATTTCATAATAAATTCTATACGCGCAGTGAATTTCTTTCAATTAATTTTTCCTTGAGTTATTGGAGGAAACTAAGTTAAAATATTCTCAAATGGATAGAAGTAATATATAAAACATATATGTGACAATTTATCTGTCTTTTGAAGCATTAGAAATAATGTTAATTTACTTTATGTTTTGGCCAAATTTTATTACTAAATGAGAACCTAGGTAGCTCATTCAGGAGAGCGTTCAACTGAAGATCTGAATGTTGCATGTTTGATGAATTCAAATTGAAGCATATGAATGTTGGAGCCTTTACCTTTCACGTTTCTTTCTTTTTCTTGTGTTATTACTCTCATTGTCGGTCTTGTACTGCCTGGTATAGGGTCTAGTTCTTTTTCTTTCTTGTTATTCTCTTCTCTCTTTTTCTTTCTTGTAAGGGTCACATAATATTTGGGGGACAAACTAGTTAGGAATTAATGGTTTGTCAATCTAGTTGGCCAGAAAAAAATTATTAATAGCACAACTATTTCAATTCTTCTTCCAACAAAAAAAAATTACAATAGTTTTGATCGCTTATACAAAAAAAATCTCAAAGCTTTGTACTTAGATATCAATTCTCCAAATTGTTGTATGCTTTCTGTTTGTTTCTAATGATGTGTGTTAGCTACTCGAACCTAAGAATCATTTGAATCGTCGTCTAAAAGACGTTCCATTCTTCCTTTATGTACTCCGTTATTGTAGTACATGGAGAAAGTGTCCAATATAAAATGCAAGGTGAGATTGGTTTCATGTACTAGGAGATTAATTATGCATGTTCCACCACGTGGCTAACATTGTCAAATTTCGTAAAAAGGAAGTGGTCCCCGTTGTTCCTTCTCTACTGTTGTTGTTGTCCACCGCCGGCACTCTTTTCTCATGTTATTTAACTGAGCTTGAGCGGAGGATCAAAGGAGGGTTAATTGAGAAAAAAAGAGCAAATAGGAATCTTCGTATGAAAAAAAAGAGGCACTTGTCAGGTGTGGCCGATTACACTTGAGTCCATTCATGTGAGGAAACTGAAAATGAACCGACGGCCAAACCTGGCCAACCCAAAGTGGCGACTCAGGCTTACATGAACTTGTCCACATCCAATTTCACAACCCCTTCGTTAACAGTAACCTCTGAAATTTTCTTAAGTAATGGTAACACGAATTTTTGGGAACTTATAATTTTAGAATTCTAATTAAATCATTGTACATTATTAAAGGAATTCCCAAATCCATCACTTACCACCATAACCTATCGTTGGTTGTAAAATAGTGCGGAAATATAAACGAGACTTTGATTTACGTGGTTCTTCCTCACGTTGTGTGAGGCTTACATCCACGGGAAACACACTATCTCTTTATTGATTGATTGATCGGCTTGGTATAACAAGCCGTCTCTTTATACCCTATGTTACAATCATCATCTAGAGTTATAGAGTTTGTGCAGGAGGTGACGAGATCAGTGGCCGATGCGGACGTGGGCTTTGTTTGTGCATGGGCTGCATTCGTCACGTGTGGGCTGCATGCGCTAGTCACCAAGTCTCACCCAATACTCCCCCGCAAGCTTGAGCATGCAGATCGCGAATGCTCAGCTTGGACAAGAGAAACCTGAACCGAACCGCCCCAAGTCCCTTGGTAAGAAAATCTGCGAGCTAGAGTTCTAAGCTGACTTTGACTGGAAGGATACGACCAGCTTGAACTCGTTCTCGAACAAAGTAACAATCCATCTCGACGTGCTTGGAACGCTCGTGGAAGACTGAATTGTTAGATATGTGAAGGGAAGTTTGATTGTCACAATGAAGGGAAGTCTGTCTATTCTGTGGAACACCAAGCTCACTAAGAAGCCATCGAAGCCAGACAAGTTCACTGACTGTGCTAGCAATTGCACGGTATTCAGCTTCGGCGGACGACCGAGCAACAACCCATTGCTATTTAGCTCTCCAAGAAATGGGTGCACCCCCTAGGGTGATGAAGTAACCTATCATGGAGCGTCGAGTACTCTGACAACCTCCCCAGTCTGCATCATAGTAAGCGGTGAGTTGCTGTGAATTAGAAGAAGGAAAGAAGATACCTTGACCTGGACTGGACTTAAGTAGCGTAGAACCCGATATACATCATCCATGTGCATCTGACTAGGTGCCTGAACGAACCAGCTCAAAATGTTGACCACATAGGTGATATCCGGTCGAGTGATAGTGAGATACAACAACCGGTCGTCCAGTCGCCGATAAAGCGAGGGATCCGGTAAAACATTATCAGTAGTGCGAGTAAGCTGGTGGTTCTGCTCAACAGGAAAGGGACTTGGATGAGTGCCCAAGGTACCAACATCTTTCAGTATGTCAAGAACATATTTTCGCTGACTAAGAACCACCCCGTCAGCGATACGAGCTATTTCAATGCCCAAGAAATAACAAAGCTGACCCAGATCCTTTATACCGAACCTGCTATCGAGAAAATCCTTGACTCATGAGATAAACAGGAGATCATTCCCTGTCATTAGAACGACGTCAACATATATGAGAGTCGCGACAAAGTTGCTCCCCCACTGATAGATAAACAAAGAAGCCTCAGCGGGTGAGGAGCGAAATCCGAACTCGCTCAATGCCGCCGTAAATTTCTGGTACCAATTACGGGAGGCCTGCTTTAGCCCATACAAGGACTTGTGGAGACGACAAACACGTGTCTCTCCTGGCTGCTGGAATCCCTGTGGAATTTCTATGTAGACTTCCTCATCAAGATCACCATGGACAAATGCATTGTTGACATCTAGTTGGTGTAGATGCCAACCCTTGCTGATTGCGACAGAAATGAGACATCGGACTGTTATCAACTTCGCGACGGGTGCGAAGGTATCGTGAAAATCCAGCCCCTCTATTTGAGTATACCCTTTTGCTACCAAGCACGCCTTGAAGCGCTCAATGCTGTCATCCGGATAGTACTTAATCTTGTAGATCCATTTGGCCGCAATAGCACGCTTTCCTGGTGGTAGTGACACCAAGCTCTATGTTCCATTGGCTTCTAATGCCTCGATTTCCTTTGTTGTGGCAACGCGCCATCTTGGGTCACGCATCGCCTAAAGAAAAGGGGTAGGCTCTTCACCTCGTGTAAAAGCTGCGAGGAAAGCACAATATTCTCATTTAAAACCATCATATTAAACAAATGAGGATAGTGGATAAGTAACGGGAGGAGGAGTGCTTCCCTTATCTTCCGGAAGATCAGTATCATATTCGGCGAGGTACTTTGGCCGCATTCGCGCTCGATCACCGCGACGAAGAGAAGGCGCGGCGGTAGCTGAATCGATAGCGGGAGGTGTGACCTCCTATTGAGGAGTTGATGAGGGCCGAGAAGTCGTGTTCTCTCAATGGGATTCCGAGGAACCTCCATCCTGGGTAAGGGCCTCGCCATGCGGGACCTCATGCTCCATCATTGAGTCATCACGCAAGCTGGACGACGTGGCCTCTTCACTTCGCTCCAACGTCTCTGCTTGAGGAGATTGCTCATGAAAAGGTGAGGCATGATCATCATTCAGCCTCCCTACCTGCCGAACAGAATGCTCAAGGCCAGAATCCAATTGAAAAATCGGCCGAGGGATCCAGTGAAGCTCTCGTTGCATGCCATCTTGGAAAGGAAAGCTCTTCTCTTGGATTTGGACGTCCCGAGAAGTGATGACACGGTGGGTAAGTAAATCGTATATAGGATAACCCTTTTGAGAAGTGGCATAGCCAAGAAACACGCCAGCCCGGCCTCGTGCATCAAATTTGCCTAGATGGCTATGTGTGTCCTTGTAGTATGCGAGACAACCAAAGATACGTAAGTGACGATAAGCAGCTGGCTTACCAAAGAGCATCTCGAAGGGGGTCTTCCCTGTTGCAGTAGTTGGCAACCTGTTAACGAGATAAACCGCAGTGAGAATGCATTCACCCCAAAAACGAAGAGGGAGACTACCCTGGAACCGCAGAGCTCGAGCGGTGTCAAGGATATTGAGATGCTTGCGCTTAACAACTCCATTTTGTTGCGGAGTGTCAGTGCAAGATGTCTGTAACAAAATTCCTGTGCGAGTATAGTAATCACGCAATAATTCGTTATTGAATTCAGCTCCATTGTCTGCCTGAATTCGTTTAACAGCCTTTCCAAACTGTGACTGAACCATCTGGCAAAATTGTAACAACTAGTGACTCGCCTGTGACTTATAACGGAGGAGATAAACCCAAACACCACGTGAGAAATCATCCACGATAGTTAAGAAATAATAATTACCACTTAAATCATCCACATGAATAAGTTCAAAACAAGTAGTTGTCTTAATAGTACTGTGTGGGAAAGGAGAACGTGACTGTTTAGCCCTTGAACAAGAATGACAGGGTCCATCATTATTCCGAGATAAAGACAAAGACAACATGTTGCCAACATAAGAGAGCTTTGCTAGAGAGGGGTGCCCTAAACGAGCATGCCAATCAACTCCAGAATCAATACCCCATTGCTGAGCTGCGCAAGCTTGCGCCCTCCCACGCCCAAACAAACGTAAGTAATATAAACCATCCTTTAGCTCATCCTTCCCAATCAACTTCTTGGAGAGTAAGTCCTGAATGACGCAAAATCCATCAAGAAAAATCAAGGCAACACGATTATCACGAGTCAACCTGCTCACTGACACTAAATTACACTGAAATTCAGGGATGTGGAGAACACGCCGCAGAGTGAAACCGGGTTGTAACTCAACAGACCCAACGAGTTTAACTGGGATACTCGCCCCGTTGGGGATACAAACAGGTTGACTATTAACGGGTAATTCTGTACTCGACAAGAGGTGCTCATGCATAGTGATGTGCTCGTTGCACCCGGAATCAAGTAACCATTCAGAACTGTCAGAGATGTTACCTTCCATATGAGCCGCGGGATCATCCGAAGGTTGATCGGAAAGCTTGAAGAACTGTTTGAGCTGTTGAAGTTGAGTGACGGTAAAACCAGCCACCGGACTCTGCTCGGCTTCCACTTGAGAAGCCCTGGGTTCGCGGTGCAACCCATCGCGACTGCTTTCGCCAGCGCTGCGACCACGACGCGGAGCGCGATCACCCGCTTTGTCACGAGAACGCTCCCGATCACGGTCACGATCACGATCATGGGGTGGATACCCAATCAACTCATAGCACGTTTCACGAAGATGGCCATGTTTGTTACAGTGCGTACAACGGAGCTTCTCACGTTCACCAGAGTTGCATTCTCGATCCCTTGACCTATCATGGTCGCCTTGAGCAACAAAGGCAGCAGCCTCGGGCTGAATTTTCTGGTTCTGTGTGATGAGCTTTTGCTGTTCTGCATTTAAAATAATGTTAAATGCTCCGCCCAAATTAGGGATAGGCTTCATCGCCATAACTTGAGTTCGGACGCCACCAAAAGCCTCGTCGAGGCCCATAAGGAAATCGAAGAATCGTGCACTTTCTTGTTGTTCACGAGCGCGACGAGAGACGCCGCATACACACTGTCCGCAGGTGCAGATCGGGGGAGGGTTAATTGCAGAAGCTTCCTCCCATAGCGCCTTCAAGCGCGTGTAAAAGGTCGAAACATGCCGCTTCTCTTGTTGAAGGAGCGAGATGAGGCGACACAGTTCATAGGCGCGCACCGAACTTCCTTGGCCGAACCGCTCTTGCAGGTCCACCCAAATAACACGAGCACTCTCCGTGAAACGAATACTGCTACGGACCCAAGCTCCTCGCGCCGGCTGATCGGCAGGCTTGACGAGAGTACCATCCACAAAACCATATTTATTTTTGGCGAGTAGGACGTCTTTCATATCGAGGACTCATTCCCCATAGTTGGAGGCAGTCAGAACATCACCCACGAGCATGTTGTCGGGGCTATCAGACTTGTGCAGTTGAAGCTCGTCGAGCAACTCATCCTCCAGCTTCATAATGCTCGACGCGGGCTGCTTCTCACTATTCTTCCCGACGGAACCAGTATCATCGTCGTCACTCATGATGAAGCGTCTAGATCACCAAGAGCTTAAAGCTCTGATACCATGTAAAATAGTGCGGAAATATAAACGAGACTTTGATTTACGTGGTTCTTCCTCACGTTGTGTGAGGCTTACATCCACGAAAAAAACACTATCTCTTTATTGATTGATTGATCAGCCTGGTATAACAAGTCGTCTCCTTATACCCTTTGTTACAATCATCATCTAGGATTACAGAGTTTGTGCAGGAGGTGATGAGATGAGTGGCCGATGCGGACGTGGGCTTTGTCCGTGCATGGGCTGCATGCGCTAGTCACCAAGTCTCGGCCCAATATTGGTTTCTCTAACCCACATGAAACAGAAAAAAACATTAGTCAGACAAGTAGACAACTAACTGATTTATACTCCTTAAATTTTACTTGTGATTGTAATTGTATATATATCCTGTTGCTGAGAATGCGCCGCATCCCACAGGGCAAAGGCATAGGCCTCCTCCCAACATCAACACGAGAAGCAGTAGTAGAACAAGAAATTTTATCCAATAGCCTAACACTTACAGACAGACAGACAAACAAACAAAAAACAGAGCCTTCAATTGGATCATCATCAATCTCCCCACTTCTCCATCCCCATACCCTGTGAAAGCAGCTCCACCGCCGCCACCAAACAACTTAAAGAGAGTTGTATATATTAATATACAAATGCTATGCTGCTGAAGTGGGCTACGTTATTTAATATTCACGGCAACAAGTGTTTGGGGGCGAGACGTTGCCACATTTGTACCCACAAGAACATTTGGGAACTACTGAACTACATGAAGAAGAGGTGGCTTTTCCTTTCGGATTGGAATTGAATGGGCCATTTTACTCCTCCAGACCAGAACACAGCTCACGTGTCCTGTAACCAATGGCCTGTGTTGTAGCCCACCGCCCACTTTTCCGCATCCTAACCTACTTACGCCTCCCTCCCTCTCCATCTCCGTTCGCTTTATTATACTCTTTTTGAGTTTGGTGGGAGGAAGACTCATATCTATGATACAAGTCATGAGGGATGGAAGTTTGGTTTGCGGGTTAGAGGAAGGAAATATATGAGTTCGAAGGTTTATTATATGTTCGATCGAAGGAAGAAGAGCACCGAATACACTATTTGTTAAAAAACCAAAAAGAATAGCTATTTTGCAGGAAACCTTCCCTAGAAAATTGGCGAATTCTCCCCAGAGCTGGAAGATAATTTCGACAACCTCGAACATATTCGAGGTTGGTTTGAGGGTAACCCGCAAACCGCACCACACCGCACACTTTGTAGATACCCATACCTACAAACAATTTGTGAATAGTGGGTTGGGTGTGGGTAACAAAATATTAATTATTGTGGTTAGTGGTTAACCACTACCCTAGCGGTTTACCCACAAAACCCACATTAACCACATTAGTTATATTTATTTCTTCAAATTACTTTGTAACCCACATTAGTTATATTAGTTTGTGAAACTTGTAAGACTAAGAATTAAAGTAGTTACCAAAATCAAATACGCACTTATTCTATAAAACAAAACTAAGTCAATATGCAATAATAATGTGAGATACATTTATCAAAAAAGCATTGTCGGTATATGTTTATTTTATAACAAAAACAAGTCCATAGATATAGGCAGATAAATTAATCGATTCGTTAAAAGAGGGCAATAATCGATAAAGGTTAGGTCGGTACCCAAACTCATCTCCATTTCTTCATGATACAATACTATAATCTAGAGTGGAGAATAATCGATTCATTAAAAGGGGGCGTCTCCACTTATCGAGCCACTTTTGTGTTTTGCTGTTGTTCCCATCGGAGGAGCCGTGACATGCAACGATATTTGTCTGGTAACAAGTCACTAAGCCTCTCCGTTATCTTCAAATCTCTTTCCAAATCCATCTCTTCTGAATTTACACTAACTAACCTCTTGTATTCGAGATATATAATTTATTTAACACTTTATTAACTTTCTTTTATGTGTGTTTTGTTTTTGTGTGAGAAGAAACACAAAATCACTATTTAATTACCATATAATTATATTTAATGTGAAATTTTTGTGGGTATCCACAACCAACCCGCACCGCCCCGCTGCGGGTAGTGGTTAACCACTACTCACTGAGGGCCGGGTTGTGGGTAGCATAATTCTATATTTGTGGGTGTGGTTACCCGCAAAATGTGGGGCGGGTAACCACACCCACCCCAGTTTCCACCCCTACATGTTATACAAATTACAGTCGTTTTGTTAGAGAGTGGTATAAGATCCATCGTAATCTTCTCCCAACAACTCGAGTTATTGGGACCAACTGGTTTATGACATGGTATCAGAACTTGTTTGGCCAAGTGGTCGTGTGTTCAATCTCCACGACCCCCAATATTAACTGTTGATTAAAGCACAAGGTCTGTTGGGTCTGTGCAAACTTCAAGCCCATGGGTTGGCTTTCGATTGACGGGGCGTGTTAGAGAGTGGTATAAGATCCAGCATAACTTTCTCCCAACAACTCAAGTTATTGGAACCAACTGGTTTATGACACGTTTAGCACGATCATTCAAGGTAAAATATTAAAGGCCGCGCATAATCACTAGATCCGTTAAACTTTAAGAAATTTTAAAAAGATTTACAATTGGTTAGAGGGTTTGGAGTT